ACCTGTCCCTGCTAGTATCCCAGTCACCTGCATGTGACAAACCCAAACTGAGGCAGTGCCCAGAAGGAAACATTTATCAGGCAACTGCCTCCACTTCTCAAGGTTTCAAGTTGAGAAATTGCAGACAGTGATACTGTCCTACCAGAAATACTGTCCTTGGAGCAATACTGCTGGAACATCATTAGAAACTCAGGTCGGCTACAGGATAAAAATGAGTATTTCTATCTGTGCAAATTGCTCTTGCAAATCAAATCAGGATTCTGCATGTAAAGAATCAGAGGGGAATATTGATTAGATAATTGACTGGCATCTGCCGTTGTTGAACATTTGGCCTGGAAACTTAGGATACAGACTGTAACTTGACCTATGGCTATTCCCATAAAGGTGGACTTAATCTTCAAAATGGGATATAAATTAAGAGGGAAAAAAAGAACAAGAAGAAAAATGGGGGTGGGGGCGGGGTATCCGTGTGCTTTAAGGGCAGGAAAAGGCAAAGGAGCCAGCAATGGGGACATATAGTGTTCAGAGTCATAGGGCGAAGGGGCTGTTAAGATGTCATGTTGGACAGAGGCCTTCTGGTGTCTGCCTAGTGGCCTGGTGGCCTGCTAGTGTTTTAGGGGATGGCCTGGATGACACGTGAATGGGAATTTCATGTAGTACAGGTGAGTCTATGGGGAGCAGAGTACAGACCCAGCAGGTGAGAACAGTGGCAAGGTGGGGGTCCGGAAGGAGGGAGAGTCCTATTACTGAGTCAGGACGGCACAGGAGAGGGAGATTTCAAGGGTGGCCAGCGGCCAGGAGCCCTGACATCCACAACAAGGCCAGGCTCAAGGGAACTGTAGCCCCCAGAAGCTTAGGCTTTGATCAAAACAGATCTGGATTTGAATCTCAGTTCTGTCACTTGCAAGTGGGATTTCAACCATAAATGACAGAGGTTAGACTATTCATAGTAAATGAAAACTTGTTATGAATAGTCTTAACACTAAGAGCTATCCATGTGCCCAGAACTGTACAAATGTAGTCTCCTCGCCTCACTTACCCCTCCTTGGAACTTTCATTCGGGGCATTTTGTTATCCCGATTGCACAGAAACGTAACCTGAGGTTTCCCGTGGTGGTGTGCTCTACTTACGGTCACGGAAGTAGCCAGGGAGCAGGGCCAGACCCAAAGCCCGGGCTCTTTACTGCTCTGCCGAACCCTCTAATAAGTGAGCTGGCTTCAGAGCTCGTCGCCTGTGGCTGCCCCAGTCACCCAGCTGTGAATCCTGCCCGCCCTCAGCCTGCTCCCTCACTGAGGTGGTGCCGGCCGCAGCCCACTCCCTCACTGAGGTGGTGCCACCATGGTGGGCCTCTGTCCTGCCTGCCCTCAGCCCCCTGCCTCACTGTGGTGGTGCCACCATGATGGGCCTTTGTGCCCTTCACCTCATCTTCCCTCCGTGTGACTTCTGTTGGGACTCTCCCAGACTTAAGAGTGGACAAGATGAAAGGGGATCTTGAAACGTATGCTCTCTGAGCACCAAACCCTACTCCTAGGCCACCAAGAGCCTGTCCCTCTCCGCTGTATTTATCGGGGCATTTTGTTATCCCGATTGCACAGAAACGTAACCTGAGGTTTCCCGTGGTGGTGTGCTCTACTTACGGTCACGGAAGTAGCCAGGGAGCAGGGCCAGACCCAAAGCCCGGGCTCTTTACTGCTCTGCCGAACCCTCTAATAAGTGAGCTGGCTTCAGAGCTCGTCGCCTGTGGCTGCCCCAGTCACCCAGCTGTGAATCCTGCCCGCCCTCAGCCTGCTCCCTCACTGAGGTGGTGCCGGCCGCAGCCCACTCCCTCACTGAGGTGGTGCCACCATGGTGGGCCTCTGTCCTGCCTGCCCTCAGCCCCCTGCCTCACTGTGGTGGTGCCACCATGATGGGCCTTTGTGCCCTTCACCTCATCTTCCCTCCGTGTGACTTCTGTTGGGACTCTCCCAGACTTAAGTGTGGACAAGATGAAAGGGGATCTTGAAACGTATGCTCTCTGAGCACCAAACCCTACTCCTAGGCCACCAAGAGCCTGTCCCTCTCCGCTGTATTTTCTGTCTTTAGATACAGTCTGTACGACCCGCCAGTGTCAAGCTCATCCCTGGGCCATCCTTCCCTGTCCACGTGTCTGTAAGTTACCACTTGCGTTCCTGGTTGTGCTGAGCAGCTGTCTGTGGAACTGTGCAGAGCTGGAAGCAAATCTCAGAACCCCTAAACTTCTGTGGACTTTGTCTGCTGTCTGTCATGCTTGCTTCCCCTTCAGTGGCCTCATGGACCCTTTCCACATGCATAGACACTGGGGTCCTGGATCCCTGAGGAATTCTGAATTCTCTAAAATCTTAAAGTCAAGCACTTGGGGCTCATTTGGGAGCTGCAATCTGTGGACCGTGCTGCCCCCTCCGTCTTCACTCTCACCTCATACTTACTGGATCTCCATTTGCTAAGCGGTGTGGCCCAGGTGAGAACCAGGATACTCGCCAGTTAAGGATATGGGCAGGTGTTAAGCAGACGGAACAGGAGTCCAGGGCAGTGATGGGAGAATACGATGGAGGCAAGAGCAAGTGGAGAAAATCAGCAAGTGAGAGGTCTCTGGGTAGGAGATCAGAGCGGACTGGCCTTTGCTGATGGCTGGACACGTGCTTCCCAGCATCACCCCAGCTAATCCTCTAGGCATGCAGAAAGAACATACCCTCACCCTGGAGTGCTGGTCCACAGAGGCTATGCATGATCACTGGGGTGCGGCCTTCATACTCCAGCCTGATCACCTGTGATGGGAACATAGATCGGGGGCTCTGGAAGGATCTCCTGTCAGGAATGGGTAGTAACAGCAGGACACACTCTTTCCTGAGGGTGGGAGAAGTGCCGTTGGCTGGCTCCTGGGAGCAGAAGCTGGGGTGGGGCACAGCTCTGCTAGGACCAGGTCTTGTGTACAGAACAGCCCTGCAGGAAGATGCAGTTGGTGGAAAGATGAGATTGGAGGGTTCACATGCAAACATTGTGGTGCAGCAACCTTCTAAGCCTCCCTTTCTGTTTGTGAGGAGCCAGGACAGTGCCTGCTCCCCATGGCACTGTGGGATAATAAAACCCACAGCTACACACAGTGCTCCACGGGAGCTGTTTCCCTTATAGCCAGTATTCGTGGGGCTGGTGTCATTGCTAATACATACGTCCATATTAACATGTCTGCATTCCATGATAAGATTGCATTCTCAGTGCCTCTCTTCCACCTCCCCTCTCCCTGCCCTTTTTCCCCAACAGTTTCAGCCTTCCCTGGGACATTTGCGACCCTTGGCCCTGCTTTAGAGCGAGGTGCCCACCCAGGTCATTGCCCCTGCTAAGGAATAATGTCCCTAAAGGCAGAGCCTGTCCTGCCCTCAATAGACCACACCCTGGAGCATGGATGCCCACTTGATAGACACAAGCACTTAGACTTGAAAGTGCATTTGCAATCATGCAGGCAATGTGTGTACACTGTGATTGTTAGTCGTGTGCAAGACTGAAAGAGAGTGCTTTTATTTCTGCTTCAACTGGTTTCCGTGACACAACTACTAAACAGTATTGGGGCTGCCTTCCACAAAGGACCCTACCTGTCACTACTTACAAAAACACCCCAGACCTGGCTGAGGTTTAGTTGAATAACCTGGATGATTTTGTTTGCTTTTCTTCCCCACTGAGATATGCAAAGATGCTTCTGTTGTGTCTTTGTTACCTGACTGTGAAGGAAAAAAATATGATTAAATTGTAAATGATTGTATGATAGAATTTAAACATTTTCTGATTGATAGTATCAAGTCTGTGGCAGAAAAAAAATTAGAAGGACCAGAGGAAGATGTTCAGATATTATTTTAGACATTCGAAGCCTTGTTCTGTTGTCTGTACCACATAATTAGTCAATATAGTAAATACCTGCATTTTGAAGTTAGTTGGAAGAGGGTAAGATTTTACTTGCTTTTTAAAATTAGAGCTAAGCTTTTAATTCTTTGCCTTTAAAAAGTACATGGTTGCTTAATGGAATTGGATGCAATGTGAGCTACCTCCTTCCTTCCTCTGAAAGTCCACCAAGTCTCGGAGTCAGGGTTCAGAGCTCCCACTCTGAGTCCAGACCCCATCAGCTTCCCCTTGTGCTGTGAACCCCCAGCACCCATCCCCGCCAAGTGTGCCCAGGGTGGGCACAGCTGTCTTGCCTGATGTCTCACCCAGTTCATCACCTGAGCTCTGAGGTGGCCTCTCACCAAAGCTCCCACTCAGCGAGCACCCTCCACCCCAAGCCTCTGCACTCTCCAAACTAAGCTTCAAGGAAGCACTAAAATACTGAGCGAGAGCCCAAAGTGGAAATTCTTTTTGTTTACTTTTTCTTCCTCTGTGCTTTGCTTCCCTCAGAAAATAAGCTCTGCAGCTAGGTTTTCAGAGGCATGGAAGGTTCTGCAGGGTCTATGAATCTAAGGCCAGGGTAATAGGTACGTCATGTACCTCAGAGGGACCTCAGGCATGGGTGAGAAATTCTGCTTTTAGAGAGTACACATCAGGACATTTTACTGCTTCGAAAAATGAGAACTAAGACTACAAGGGCCTACTATATAGCACAGGCAACTATATTCAATATCTAGTAATAACCTATAATGGAAAAGAGTCTGAAAAAGAATAGACCTATATATGTGTAGGTATAACAACCTCTTTGCTGTATTCCTGAAACATTGCAAATCAACTATACTTCAGGTTTGTTTTTTTTAAAAGGGTAATGAAAATGTTCTGGGATTATATAGTGTGGATAGCTGCACAACTCTGTGACTATACTAAAAACCATTGAGTGAAAAACCAAAAAAGGAAAAGAACTTAAAAAAAAAAAAAAAAAACAAGAACTGCTGGTGGGGAGTTTGATTGAACAGGTGCTAACAGAGACCCTTCTTTGCAAGATTCTCTCCTAACATGTAACCATTATTCATGCATCAGTATTGTAATCTCTTGTCATTTCTCATCTCCAGGCAAAAACTGGGACCTCACGGCCGCTCTGAGTGACTATGAGCAGCTCCGACAGGTGCACACAGCCAATCTTCCACCTGTGTTCAACGAGGGCAGGTGCCCCAAACAGCCTGAGCGAGAGCCACCCCCGCCCGGGCACACAGCCGAGCGGCCCTGCCTGCCCAGGCAGGACGACATCGCCCAAGGTACCGGCTTCAGGGCCTGCCAGGCGCCAGCTTCCTGGTCCAGCATGGTTTACAAGGGGCTGGGGCAGGAGTGCACAGAAGGGTGAGGTCATCATCTTTCCCAGCTGCAGGCAGATGGGGCTCTTCAGGCACCACACCTCACCCTGTCGTTTACAGCTTCCATTCCTGCCTCAGGGGCAAGGGAGAGTGAGTCCACTTCTCTGGGACCCTACATTCCTCCTGGAGTCCTGGTTTTCCCAGACTTGACATCTCTCACCCTTGCAAAACTATTTCCCAAGTGGCATAGACTCCAAACCTGTTCAACACTGATATTCATCATCCATGTGTTTCATGGGATGAATTCTTTTTTTCCGAACTGGGAAAATTTCATTGTAACAAATATATATAAAGGAAACCTTAGAGTTTTCTTCTCCACATCTCCCATACCTCCCGGAGACTAACCAGTGGCCCCGTCTGGTTCTGTCTCCTTCTGCTCCTTCTTACTTTGCTTGTTCAGAATGCAAGCACATCCAAGTCAGATGCACATACTGCATTCGGCAGAGTGCTGGTTTCCTTGAGCAATAGATCGTGATCATATTCTCTTCATATTTTACACCATAGTATATGATTTCTTTTAAACCATATCTGTTCATGGTGATTCTGTTTCTTCTTAGATTTTGTTGTTAGTGGTGGTTTTTTGACATTACAGACACTGCTATAATAAACTTTATGCCATAATTTGTACATACTAGTGCTCTTATTTCTATAGGCTGGCATTTCCAAGGTGGATTTGCTGTACCAACACATGTGTTTTTTTGTTTAATAACATCAGGACTTGGTTCCCAAACACATATCTTTTCACCATGTGTGAAACTGGGTGTTTCCATTCATTCTTGCCAGGACTGGGTGGTCTCATGATGGTTTTCCTACTTTGTTTTTCTACTTTGAAGGGTAAAAAATAGTTTCATCTTGTCATTTGCTTGTTAGCCAGTTGGATTTCCTCTTCTGTGATATTCTTATTCAGGTACTTTGCACATTTTTCTATTGTTTTGTTTGCATTTTTCTTATCAATTTGCAGCATACTTTATAACGAAGACTAAACTACAAATGTATTTTGCATATATATGTGTATACATATATATATACATCCCACAGTGTTATTTGCCTTATCATTATTCACAGAAAATTCTGCCTTACAAAATGTTTATATTACTATACATTCATGACTAAATGGGTGACCTCTCCCTTTCTTTAGAAATTCTCCTGAAATTCAAAGTTACTGACATGTTTTCTTGTATTTGTTTTTTAAATTTTGTTCTTAGGTCTTATAAGCAATTTGAAATTTTTATAAACAATAGCTAAGAATCTAGTTTTGCTTCTCTGGATTGAGAATGAGATAGTCTAGCGTATTTTTTAAATAAAGCATCCCTTTCCCACTGAACTAACATGCCAACTTTGCTGTACATTAACTTAGCAAAAATGTATTTGACTCAGTTTCTGGACTCTGTGACCACCCAACCTGCTATACTTGACTCATATAGCTTCATATAGTATTACTCTGCAAAGGCTAGTTCCTTTATTGCCATTCTTTTTCAAAACTTTTTCATGATTTTTGGATATTTATTCCACCATATTAATCTTAAAATTGGAATTCTGATTGGAAGTGGATTGGATTTTTTTTATTTTATTTCAGGGATAATTAGCATATTGTAATACTGTTTTTCCACTCAATATTTCATATACTGCTTCATTTATTCACATTCTGTTAAGAGTTTAGGCACAATAAAAGCAATTTATTTTTTATCCAGTCATGTCATAAATTCTCTTATTAATACTAGTTGTTCTCAGAGAGTCTCTTGGATTTTCTACATATACAATCATAAGATCTGAAATGATTTAATACTCCTCTTAATATTTACACAATGGATTCTAATTCTCCAGTTGCCTTAGGTCAACCTTCCCATGCTGTGAGTCATTGTTGTCTGTTTCTGTTAGCTCAACCTGATTATTCAGGCTATATTGGAAACTCTATCTTGGATTATTGTCCTATGCTTACTTACTCTGTTGTCCAGAAAAGCCAAACTTGAGTTAGAAAGTTTAATGCTCGTTATCTGTTTCTTCTCTTAGCTTTTCTTCTCTTTCCACTACATTTTGGGCTGTATTTGTAGGTGCGTATGTATTCACTATTGTGAGGTTGTCTGGCTCTAATGTGTTTTTTAACAATATATAGAGTATCTCTATGTCCCATATAATTATTTTTATCTTTAAATCTGTTTTAGTTCATATTAAACCTCTCCCCTGCCTTTCTCTTGGTTCATATTTGCCTGGAATCACATTTTTTCAACCTTTCTTATCCTTGTATATCAAATATAATTATTGTAAGTAATTTATCATCAAGTGTCACTCTATTATTCAACCCAAGAGCCTATCTTTTAAGCAGTGAATTTAATCTACTTATTTTATTTTTATTATTATCCTGTCTGTGCTTCTTTATGTTGCATTTTTATTTGCCATGCTTTTTTATATGTGTTTTTCTCCTTTTCTATCTTTTCTGGCTAAGTAAATTTTTCAACTAGTTTGAAAGTTATATATTCTCCTTATGTTATAGTTACCTCTATTCTATTAAAACCTATATTTAGGTTTTCTCTCTATTAATTTTTAAAATTATCAACAGCTATATTTTACCCCGTTTTTATCTTCCCCCTCCTACCTCCATGTGCCCTCAGTCATATTTAGGTTCTTTTTACTGCTTGTTTAGACAACAGTCAACTTCTTTATTTGCTCATATTTATCTTTTACTAAAAGAATACTTTTCCAAAGACTTTGCTAAAAAAAATTTTGCCTGATCAGTCTCCTAAGGCTATCAGTACCTAAAGATGTTTACATGATGTACTTAAATTTTTGTTTGGTGGAATAACAATCTGGGTCCAAATTATTTTCCCTTAAAACCATTCCACTCCTCCATTGTCTTCTTGCATCTCATTTTCATGTCTTCTAAGAGATTGCCTTGACTTGTTCTTCTAACATCCTAATTTATTCTTCACGTGAACCGTTCTGTTAATCGGCATTTCTCATTCCAAATTCCTGCTTTCTCATTATTTTTATTGTTTCACATTGTAATATTCTATCTCTTTGAACGTATCTCCTAGGTTTATTTTAAAACCTTGTCCTCCTGATGCATTCCAGCCCAAATACTTTGTGAACTTTCTATAACCATGTTCTCACTGCTGAGACATTTCCTAAGTTTTGCCTGTGAACACACAGTACCTTGCAGTTACCAGCCATCTTAGCTCGTGGTATCAGGGGAAAAGGACTAAGGCATGGACTCTGTTTTGTGTTCCTCTGAATGAGAGCATGGAGGAAAGTGCACTCAAAGTGGCTAGCTCTGACTGCTTTAATGTGGGCTCAAAATGTTCTCCACTGGCTCTCTTCGCCACAGTTGGCTTTACTGCTTAGGGAACTCTCAGTTCCTCTGTTCTAGAAATTACTCATTTGTAGGAGCTTCCACTTTCTTGTGTAACTGTCAGCTCACAGGGAGTGTAGGAGGAAAGGAAGAAGGCTTGGGGCCAGCCCACCTGTTCCTGTTGTGGTTGTCTCCCAGCTCCATGAGATTTGCCCTGATGCTCCTCCAGTGGCTTTGGCCATGGCAGTGGCTGGCCTGCATTGTGATGGTGATGCTTCAGGCAGTTACCCCACAGGGCTAGCTGCGGAGAGGAAAAGCACAGCCAGAACCCCTGCCCTCAGCCCGTTCCCACCCATCTACTCCTGTGGGCCTCCTGGGTGGGTTAGGAAGAGGGTGTTGAGGTGTGGTCACTGACTTGGCCCCCTTGTTATCCCATTCTTAAAGTCTCCTTCATTCTGCCCTTAGATCTGACCTCTTCTAATCATTTAGCTTGGTCTTTCTGTGACTGTGTGCTCTTTCAGCACCACACTGGACAGCCTCCCAGCGTCTCTCATGCAGTGGAGATCCAGAGAGCTGACAGCTTGGCAGTTCCTGCTCTTTCTGAGCAGCAAACAATCTAACCCATTATCTTATCCTCCCAGGGAAGGGTGTAGAAGGCTCCTTCTCTCTGTTCTCAGACAGACTAGCAGAATCAGGGCCTTATATGGATACTCGCCACTATCTTATTTTTATCAGGAAAAAAAAAACACAGAAGTCTATCATAACATAATTTCATTAACTGAGCCTTGCGAACAAACATATGTATTTTTTAAATTTATTTAATTTTGGCTGTGCTGGGTCTTCATTGCTGAGTGGGCTTTCTCTAGTTGTGGCGAGCAGGCTTCTCATTGTGGTAGCTTCTCTTGTTGCAGAGCACAGGCTCTAGGGCTTGTGGGCTTCAGTTGTTGTGGACTCACTAGTTATGGCATACAAGCTTAGCTGGCCTGAAGAATGTGGAATCTTCCCAAACCAGGGATCAAACCAGCATCTCCTGCCTTGCAAGGTGGCTTCTTAACCACTGGACCACCAAGGATGCCCTATATTTTTAACAAGTAGAAATTGTAGTTTCTGAATTAGATCTATATATACCCTTTAATTGAATTCTTCCTGCAGTCACAGTCTCCTAAAATTGAAGATAAAGCCCGCCATATTCTAAATCAACAACAATAACTCATGAACCACCTCTGGCCACTGCCTGTTTTTTCAGCAAAGTTTTATTAGAACCCATTGTTTATTCACTGTCTATGGCCGCTTTCATGCTGCAGAGACAGAGTTGAGTAGTTGTGACTGAGAAGTGTATGGCCCTCAAAGCCTGAAATATTTATATCTATCCCTTTTAGAAAAGTTGGCTTCCCTGGTGGCTTAGACAGTAGAGTCCGCCTGCAATGCAGGAAACCCGAGTTCAATCCCTGGGTCAGGAAGATTTTTGTCTACCTGTCAGATACAGTGAGACACACAGACAGGGACATGACTGTCCTAGAAGAAGAGGTTCTTATACTCACAGTTCCCTGGAAACAGGAGGCATGACACACCCTGTAGGGTTATATGGTGAAGCACCAGGGTTGGTCAGAAGGCAGAAGGGACAGAGGAGAACAAGGGCAGGGGCCTGTATTGTGTTTCTGTGGGAAAGACAAGGCAGGGTAAACAAACTTAGGATTGGCTGGTATGAGTAATTTCAGCAGCCCTCGGCGGGTATAAGGGCTATTTCTTGTTGTCTGGCACCTGGCCCAGGGGTAATTAGGGCAGTGGCATGGCCTGCTGGTGTGAGCCAGATAGAGGAGGTGATCCAGAGTATAGGCTCTGAATTGGTTTGTCCTGGGTGAGTCCTTTGGTGTCTCCAAGAATTGGATAATTCTGTAGGGAAATTCTCTCCCCATTCAGAGCCTCCAGAATACATTCAGAGCCCAGATGCCAGAGCCTCCAGAATACAGAAAATAAGAAAACAGAGTTAATACACATCCCCTGGCCTAAATCATAGATACCTTTTTGTTAGTGTGGGTTTTTAAATTTCATTCTTTAATTTATTTTTATTGAAATATGGCTGATTTATAGTGTATTAATTTCTGCTATACAGCAAAGTGATTCAGTTATATGTATGTATACATTCTTTTTACATTCTTTTCCTTTGTGGTTCATCACAGGATATTGAATATAGTTCCTTCTGCTATAATAAATCATAAGTGCTTGATCTGGCTTTGTCAAGGGTCAGAAAATCCTGTATATTCCCTCAGTATTTTTTTAAAAATCTCTCTGTATTTCTCTGGGGTATAACTTTGAACATGGTAATTCCTGTTTTATTTATTTTATTTATACTTCCAAAAGAAGAATTGCTGAATTCATGTTTAAAGAATCCGTTTGTGAGTGTATGTGCATGTGAGAGTTGGTCAGAAGGCAGAAGGGACAGAGGAGAACAAGGGCAGGGGCCTGTATTGTGTTTCTGTGGGAAAGACAAGGCAGGGTAAACAAACTTAGGATTGGCTGGTATGAGTAATTTCAGCAGCCCTCGGCGGGTATAAGGGCTATCTCCTGTTGTCTGGCACCTGGCCCAGGGGTAATTAGGGCAGTGGCATGGCCTGCTGGTGTGAGCCAGATAGAGGAGGTGATCCAGAGTATAGGCTCTGAATTGGTTTGTCCTGGGTGAGTCCTTTGGTGTCTCCAAGAATTGGATAATTCTGTAGGGAAATTCTCTCCCCATTCAGAGCCTCCAGAATACATTCAGAGCCCAGATGCCAGAGCCTCCAGAATACAGAAAATAAGAAAACAGAGTTAATACACATCCCCTGGCCTAAATCATAGATACCTTTTTGTTAGTGTGGGTTTTTAAATTTCATTCTTTAATTTATTTTTATTGAAATATAGCTGATTTATAGTGTATTAATTTCTGCTATACAGCAAAGTGATTCAGTTATATGTATGTATACATTCTTTTTACATTCTTTTCCTTTGTGATTCATCACAGGATATTGAATATAGTTCCTTCTGCTATAATAAATCATAAGTGCTTGAGCTGGCTTTGTCAAGGGTCAGAAAATCCTGTATATTCCCTCAGTATTTTTTTAAAAATCTCTCTGTATTTCTCTGGGGTATAACTTTGAACATGGTAATTCCTGTTTTATTTATTTTATTTATACTTCCAAAAGAAGAATTGCTGAATTCATGTTTAAAGAATCCGTTTGTGAGTGTATGTGCATGTGAGAGTGTGTGTGTGTGTGTGTGTGTCTGTGTGTCTGTGTGATTATGTATGTGCATTCATGGAGGTGGTGGTTGGAAGGAGTTAGATTTCGAAGCATATGTTTCTTGTTATATGATCTTTAACATAATTCACTTTTAGTTCAAAAGGACTTTTCCCCTCAGATTCCAAATATTAATATTTGGAGTGGCTCAATAGCATCAATTTATACTATGAGTCACAGCGTTTCTAAGGTCCTCATCAGTTGGCAATAGGTGCTGATTGAGGTAAGCCAAGAAGACGTATGGATGACCTTGCCCAGCACCTTGCCTCTGCTGAGAGCAATGTGGGTTCATGTTACCTTGGGTGTTCAAGCAAACTGTTGGGTCTTGAAGGATGGAGCAGTTCCTATTTTCCCAGATTCCAGAAAGGTAGCTGGTGGCAAGAAATGTGACCTCAGCCAGGGCTGCAAGGGGCAGAGGGGCGTGAGGTCCCCTCTGCTCCTGCCCTGGGAGACCTGCCCCAGGCACAGGACGACCAGCTGGCCCCTGTGCTCCGTGGCTCCTCTTGCTCATGGCCTGTGTGGTCTGACCTCTCTTCTTGCCCTTCTTCAAAATACAACAAACTTCAATCATCTTTAATTCATCTCAGAATGAAATTGAAGGTGAATCACAACTATTCATTTTGAAGTACTCTGTCTCTGAGACTTACCATGCAAATATATGAGGCCTCTGAGAATTAAATTTGAGCTTAAAATTAACTTATACCAGGGTCAAAGGCCTCTTGTTTTTCATCTGCTTTAGCAAAATTACTTTAATGGCAGTGCTGTCAACTACTCTTGCATGTGGGGGAAGAGAGCTTTCCTTCTTAATGAAGGCGTGGGCATGGGCTTCCTGCCAGAACAGCAGGGGCAGAAGCACGGCTCAGAGAGGCATCAGCAGAGCACAGAACCTAACCCATGAGCAGGCTAATGTGAGTGGGAATCCATTCAACTTAAATGATCACATGTACTAATGAGTCTACCACAGCTATTAGAAAATATTCATTGAAATGCCTGTCTGAATTTTGTTTTCTGGGCAAAATTAAAAGAGGACTAGTCCCTTCCTAAAAGAATTCTTCATTGTTACAAATATTGATTGTAAAACTGAAAACTTATTCCTAATATCACACATTTAAGAATTATTTTGCTATTAAGCACAGGGCTTTAAAAAAATAAGTATGCTTTTTAAAATATTACTTCTTTTTTTTGTTTTGTTTTGTTTTTTTGTTTGTTTGTTTATACTTTGCTCTGTATAATGGGCTCCAGTTTCATCCATCTCATTAGAACTGATTCAAAGCTGTGGTACATATACACCATGGAATATTACTCAGCCATTAAAATATTACTTCTTGATGGTGGCATTTAAATCAGATGGTCAACTTCCTAATAAAGTAACTGTTGTATTTTAGAGAAATTCTACAGTGCATTTCTCATCCCTTGTTGGAAAGCCTAATCAAAATAAAAATTTTTAAGATTGCCATGACAATAGAAAATCCAGACAGAATAGAGGCATGCGATGGATTAATATCTGTGTCCTGGGAATCTTCCTGCAGGGTGTGTTTATAAGAGTAGCTTTAGTAGAGGTGACCTATCTAAAAATCCAAGCCACTGTGGAGGAAACCCAATGGATTGCTTCTCACTTTAAAAATATAAAAGCATAAAAGCAAAGGAAGTCCCCTGTGTAGAATTTTATGCCTCTAGAGCTCTGCTGAACTGAGTTCCATGTAACTTAAGACCCAGGAAGCAAGGCTGCTGATCTTTACAGATGCTGAGGAATATTTGTGTGGTGGACTTGCCCTTTGCCTCCTTCTAAGAGGTTTCGTGACTAAGTGCCATGTGCCAGGTGATGGTGATGTTAACCCAGCATGAAGTAGGCCTGCTGAGAATACTGGGGGGTGGCAAGGCTGGGGAGGGGGAGGTAATGGGTATGCAGGTGTCCATGGGTGTGCCTCTGCATGTGTGGTGAGTGTGTACATGTGTGTGTGTCCATGTGTGCTGCATGAGTGTGCCATGTATGTTTACATGTGCATATGCATCCTGTGTGCTCGTGTGTGCACATGTGGGATGTGTCATGTGGGCTAGTGTGCACACCCACAGAGCCCCCCTCACTCAGCACCCCCACTTCCCCCCATGCAGAGAAGCGGCTCTCGCGGGGGATCTCCCACGCCAGCTCGGCCATCGTGTCCTTGGCGCGGTCCCACGTGGCGAGTGAGTGCAGCAGCGAGCAGTTCCCGCTGGAGATGCCCATCTACACGTTCCAGCTTCCGGACCTGAGTGTGTACAGCGAGGACTTCCGGAGCTTCGTGGAACGGGACTTGATCGAACAGGCGACCATGGTGGCCCTGGAGCAGGCGGGTGAGTCCCCTCATTCAGGCCCCCCCGGTCGGGAGGAGGGGGCGGGGGCAAGAGGGATGTGCGGTCCAGCTCCACTCTTTGTCAACCAGGGTGCCTGCAGGCACTGCCCGGCCCTCGCCTGGTGCCAGTGGTGTGGGGTGAGAAGCACGTGGTGCTCAGATCCCCTGAGAGTTCTCTTTGTTCCTAATCCAGCCTGGCCAGGTCAGGTCCCCCCAAAGAGAACTCCAAGCTGCTTTGCCTTAACTTCTCTCCTTTCCCATCCAACCACGATGGCCCAATTGGGTCCTGAACAAAAGACCCTACGCTTGGAGAGAAATAGGAGACCCTGGCACTTCCTGTGGACACAGGCAAGTTCATGACCTCTTTCAGCCTCAGTTTTCCCCTCTGCAAAGACCTGAAAAGGATGGATGCTGGCCTGGTGAGATTGAGCATTAGACAGCAAGGTGCCCTGTGGAACTGTTCCTGCCCTCCCCCCACCCACATCTGCACCCCCAGCTCCAGGTTAAGGAAGCATACAACCAGACTGGTTTCCTGCTCTCCTTAATGTTTCTCTGACATCCCAGTGAGGACAAGATTCAGGGAGTAAACCAAACTTTCTTCTTTGGAGTTCCTAAGAATAAACTAACTAGTTCCAAACAAATTCTGAAACAGACCTTGGTTCTTTCTGAGACAGGCAACCTCTGTGTCACTCATGATCATTTGCACTATAAATCTTTGCATAGTCACACGTTTGGGGCTTCTCAGACATGCGTGTAGAGGATCCTGTGCCCTTCTCAGGCCCCTGTGCATCCTCTGTGGGGCCAATAAATCCCCAAAGATGAAGAGGGGCTGGTGGTGAGTGGGGCCTTACTTGTGCTGGACAGACTGGCAGCCAGGTCTCAGCCCAGGACTTGGAAGCCTCACCCTCGGGGTATTTGGCTTAATAACAGGATCAAAATTCCCGATAACTGTGTTGGATCTGATGTTGTGACTGTTTTCTCCACTGCTGCACAGCTGCCAAAAGCAGCTCAGAGACCAATCGCCACACCTGCGTTCTGTCTTACCTCCAGGTCTTCTCTCTGGATTAGCCACAGTAGCTCAGACGGTAAAGAATATGCCCACCGTGCAGGAGACCTGAGTTCAGCCCCTGAGTGGGGAGGGTCCTCTGGAAGAGGAAATGGCAACCCACTCCATTATTCTTGCCTAGAGAATTCCATGGACAGAGGAGCCTAGAAGGCTACAGTCCACGTAAGGTCCATGGGGTCGCAAAGAGTTGGACACGACTGAACAACTAACACTAAAGCCCTCCCTCTAGAGGCTGGCTATTTTAAAGATGTTTCTATGAGATAGTTTAAACCTAATATTCACTATTCACAGAGAAGGGAAAACTGGTATAGGTTACGAAGGAAAAAAATTCAGGAACTAATTTCTCTTGAAGGCCATAGTAACCAAGCATTTGACAAAGTTCAGCCTCAAGCATGGTCAGTAACACTGATAATTGCTGCCTCATTTAAAGCCCTAGTCCTGGTAAAAGGCATGGAGTCCACCATACCAGCCTTCTCCTCCAGCCATATCATGCTCAGCAAGAGCTTTTGCTTTTCTGGAAGGTCTTTTCTGTTATTTTTTTCCCATGGATCACATATTAATTTTTACTTACATTTTACCTTCCAAACCAGCATTTTTAAAGGGGCACTGTTTGACTCTTTTCAAATGTTCACCCTCTGATGATGAGTCAACTGACTTGCTTTGCATTTTGGGTTTTCCTCTGACCTGGGTGCACTTGCATGCCTCCTTTCACTACCTTTCTCTCCTGCCTTTGAAAACCTTGAGCCTCTGCTCCTTCAAATGGCTCTTGGGGAGTTGTTTGTTCTCCCATTAATCTGTCAGTGTCAACCTACCAACACCCTTGTTGGTGTCACTGAAGCAGCCAACTTAGCACATGGCATGTGTGTTCTGTGACTCTCTCTTTTGATTTTCAGGGGCTGCTGACAGCACCCTGTCAGTGCTGAAGGAGGCCTTTAGAGGCTGGCCAGTGCCCCAGTCTTCAGGACCATGATCACGGGCAGGGAGAGTCTGAATATCAGGGTTCTGCCGAGAACAGGGAGATGAGGACTGGAAAATAGTGGAGGGTAGAATAAATGTGCATTCTTTTCTGCCCCCCACCTATCATCCAGCGACTTCTCTGTACTTCTCTTTAAGCCATAGACTGATCATCCTTCAGGGCTTTTCTGTGCCTGGATCCTGGTGGGAATCTGGCTGAGGCCCAGGAGTCCCACCCAGCCCCCCACCTCAGCTGGGTGAGGAGCCGGGGCGCTGGGAGGCGGCGTAGGCTTCGTCCCTCGGGCGCTGCTGTCACTCTCCACGGGGCAGACAGAGCTCCGCTGAGGAACAGTGGGGAGAAAGCTGCTGGACATGGCCACATATAGCGTGTCAGTTCCCTTGTCCAGTAATTTAGTGTTCAGATCACTGTGAATCAACCACTGATAAGCAATATTATTTACTGGGTTTATGGGAGATGGAAATATGGATGTCCAAAAAATGTTAGTGAAAAAAGTCTGCTTGTTCAAGACATAATACAAGTTGTGTTTGGAAGGAAATATAAGCTCTGTCTCAGGGTCTCAGCGTCGGGGACTTTTCTCCCTCCCTGGGGGCTCATGTGATCCAGGCCCGAGGGAGGGAACCAAGATGGCGGAGGAATAGGACGGGGAGGCCGCTTTCTCCCCTACAAATTCATCGAAAGATCATTTGAACACTGAGCAAACTCCACAAAACAACTTCTGATCGCTAGCAGAGGACATCAGGCACCCAGAAAAGCAGCCCATTGTCTTTGAAAGGAGGTAGGACAAAATATAAAAGATAAAAAGAGAGACAACAGAGTAGGGACGGAGGCCCGTCCCGGGAAGGGAGTCTTAATAGAGGAAGTTTCCGAACACCAGGAAACCCTCTCACTGGAGGGCCTGGGGGAAGTTTTCGAATCTCAGAGGGCAACCTAAATGGGAGGGAAAATAAATAAAACCCACAGATTACATGCCTAAAAACAACTCCCAGCAGAAAAGTACCCCAGACGCTAGCACCCGCCACCAGCAAGTGGGGGCAAAACGGAAAGGAGCTGGCGGCAATGCCCTGAGGGCAATCAGAGGGAGCTAACCGAGATAGCAGTGTGATCCAGACCCATACTCCAGCTCCATTCCCTCCGAGCCCAGCACAGGGCAGGCGTCCAGAGTGGCCCCCCAGCTCCCCAAGGCACATGGACAGCCCTACCTGTTTGAGGAGCCTCTCTATCGAGTAGTGAAGCTTCATCTCCCACAGAACCCACAGGAGAGGGAGTGCCATTCTCCGCAGGCCTTAAAACCCCGGAAGACATGACCTACTACCTGTTTGAGGAGCCTCTCTATCGAGTAGTGAAGCTTCATCTCCCACAGAACCCACAGGAGAGGGAGTGCCATTCTCCGCAGGCCTTAAAACCCCAGAAGACATGACCTACTCTGGCCCCATGATAGGCGGGGATGATAGGAGGGCCAGGTCTTCAGGATATAAAACCACTGACCCCCTGAGAGAGGAAAGAAGATGCCTCACATTCTTCATTTAGCCTGAGAACTCAAGAAAGTATTCGTCTCTCAACCAGGTTATCCTGATGAGTTCACACTTAAGAAGACTCAGAAATCATGAGTCTCTAGGTTTGGAAAGTAATGTCTTGCATCCCTGCCCCTTTCGGACGCCTCTGAATGGAATGAGATGGCATGATGCTCCAGCAAGTATGTGGGACCAAAGGCAGAAGCATGCCTGTGTCACTGCACACAGTGACTGCACACACAGGACGTTAAGGTCTAGACGTCAGAAAAAGTGGGGATGCCCCTCTGAGTTGTGGTGTTGAGTCTGTCTCCACAGGAGAAGAGTTGGATTGGAGTGAATCTGACAGAGAAGTTCTAACATGTGCAGGTTTTTGAAGGCCTTTGTGAGTCAGCCCAGCCCTGCCAGGTCAGCTGGAGCCTCACTTCCTTCCATCTTAATGTAGGAGATAAGACAGCTGCCAAAACTGCACCTACAGCAAGCCTGAATTGCAGTCCCACAGACACCCCGTCCAGGTGCTGGAAATCCCATCATTATGAACCATGCAGGTGAAGTTGTTGCTGCCCTCATGGAGATGAAGTTCTAGTGGGGAAGAAAGATCGTAAGGCAGACCATCAATATGGCGCAAGACCATGCAGTAGGCGCTCCGAGGTGAAGGGAGGGAGCCCAAGGCAGGGTTCTTGAGGGCAAGGAGGAATGAGCCATGGGACACACTCAAAGCCTTGGCTCATTTAAGGAAGGTAGAATATGGGAGCAGAGGGAATGAAGGCTGGAGGGGTTGGAAAAGAAGGTGATAGAATGGTAGCCAGGGGCCAGGGAGCACTCCTGAGCCTCAGGGTTAACTGTAGGGAGGCTGTGCAGCCCCAGAAGGGCTTTAAGAAGGAGTGGTGACATGTTTGGATTCACACTGACATGTTCTGGCTGTTCTTTTGAGAGTGGACTCTGCAGAGGAAAACAGAGCAGGAAGAGCAGCAGATAGCCCAGTGCCTTGGAGGTAGCAGTGGAGGTGGTAGGAAATAGCTATATGTGAACCAGGATCAGTTTTGAGGAAGGTCCTACAGGTCTCACTGATGGATTGGATGGGGCAATAGCAGAAAGAGAAGAGTCAAGCATGACCCTGCTAGTGTTGCCTTTAGCACTCGGGTAGATGGTGGTGCCATGTGGAGACACAGACCCCTGGAAGAGGGATTGAGGGTGGTGTAGAAACAAAGGCTCAGATCCTAGAGAGACTTAGAAACTTGGCGTCCAGTTGAACACGTGGGTCTGGAGTTCAGGAGCAGTCTGAGCTAAAGAAGCAGATGTGGGAGTTAGTGTGGGATGAAATCCAAGGGAGGGGATGCGCTCATCATAGGGACCTCCCACAGCACCCCTAACAGCCCTGTGCACTGTTGGGTACAAGCTGGATGAGGAAGTCTGGAACATGGGTGAAACATAAGGGAGACAGAACAGGA